GGTAAGACTTGAGAGGGAGCCACACACGCACACACACGTGCACACACTTGCACACACAAAAACATGTGTACATGCACGCACACAAACTTGTGCACACACACAAACTCCTGTCGACCTGTGACGGCACCTGTCAAGATGAAGGGGAAGGTGGCACGATGGAGGACCACACGAGGTGAGAGAGGTCACGGTAGTCGTGGCAAACGAGGCTCCGTCAGGGGTCACCGCCGCCTCCTGTGTGATACTGTAGACACGAATCTACACCACTCTTCACGCCAGCGAGCGAGAAGAGGTTGGAGGGAAACTATCAAGACGGGCATAATACAAGAGAAGACAAACAAGGTAGAAAGGCGTAAGGCAAAGCAAAACACAATACGTCACGAAATAAGACAAAAAAAACGAATAAAAACATACGAACATGAAATTTCTACCGTATGTGTTTTAGACTCTTGTATCAACTGTGAACGCCACCTAGCGAAACGAACAACAACAACAAGTAAACAGTAGTGAGAATATCGAAATTAAAATGTTTTTCTCTCACCTAATGGTTAAATCACAACACTTTTCTGAATATTTTTGTTTTAATTTGCCTCGCGAGGGGCTAGTTTATTGGGGACTCCTCAGGAATATGATGACTGTTTTTGCGCGTGAATGAACTGTACGTACAGTACTTTGTCCTGCACATTCAAAATACAGACTTCTCAACCTTGCATGCTCTGATTAATTCCATTTTGATACTGGAAAACATCTGCTAAATATGCTAATTTGAGCACCCACGACTTTTCGGATGAAAGAAAGTCGGCCAGTTTTTACCTTATTATAAACACACGAGTCAAAACTGCCCCAAGTGATAACCAACGCACTTCAGAGTGGAACAGCATGCTATCAAAGTTGGCACCCATTTCATGGCAAAGTATTCCAAACAGCTTGTGTTTGAGGGAGTGTGATTTTACATAGATCACTGTTTTCACAACTTCCCGCAGAATTTGATGCAATTCTCCATCAATGAGTTTTACAACAAGTGGCTCGTGATGGAGCATTGCAGTGTGTGTTGACAGCTTTGGGGGTTTTGCTTGTATGGGAGCAACGACTCTACTGCGTTTGCCTGCCACAGCAGCGGCGTCGTTAGTACATACTCCCACAGAACGAACCAGCCAATTGAATTAACTCTATGCATTCATCCTAGATCCGAAAAATGCGCTGTCCAGTAGTCGTGCCCTCGATGGCCTTGAAGAAAAGTATTTCGTAATAATTTATCTTTACTGATTAACCTGATGTAAAGGAGCAGCTGTGATTCGTTTACGACATGTGTGTTTTAGCTCAACTGCAATGCAAAGGACTCACTGGCTCACACTTGATCCAAACGTCCTCGTCCATATCATCTATCCTTCTACTCACAGTATTATCTGATAAGGGCAGCACCCTCCCGAACAATGTCTTTGGTTGCTTGTATTAGGAAATCTTCCCCGACTGCATGTGGTGTCTTACCGCGTCCAATGTGAAAGGAAGTTAGCTAAAAGGAGGTTTTTTAATGTCCTTTCTTGAACTGTGTCTTGCTGGACTCTTAATGTACACGCCTGTCTGGCTGGAGATGATTCTTGTCATTTGAAGAAAGCAACAGATTTGCTGGCCTCAGTGGGATGTTTTTGACGTGTTTTAAAGTTCGATGGCTTTAAACATTCATTGGAGAAGATCTGTTGACAGAGAACACACTTGGGGCGCTCCACTCAACCTTTCTTCACCACAAAGCTAAACCCATGCGCAGTATAAGACAACAAGTGCTTCTTCAGTTAAAATTATCCATCATTTGCATATGTGCTCGAGGTACTCGTTTCACTTGGTCTTGAACAGGCAGTGGAGGGCTCGTCAGATGTTTCATAAAAACCTGCCCATCTTAAACGTGCTACAGAGTTAATCAACACACGGTCTGCAAGCATAAAGGAAGCGGCGTAAAAAGAAAACGAGTGTAAAATATATCGCTATTAAATGAAAAGGAAATTAGCCAGGATATATCGAGTTTACGTAATATTAATGAGATTAAATTCAGTAATATATATATATTTTCTGTAAGGAAAATGAATGATTTACAAACATACATCCCTATTATGTCCACTATTACAGTTTCATGAGCAGGATTCATTCACTTCTAGTTATTATTCTTATTTTAATTACTAATTATCGCATTTCAGTTGCACCAATATTTCATAATGACGCCCGGTAATTAAAAACATGCAACGTAATCATTTGCAACGTACCTGTAGATGGGAATACTTGTACAGTAGTAGTGACTATGGAGAACAACGTAACAGTACTGATAGTGGAGAGCGCGAGGTGGCGTAGTAGAGGAAAAAGAGACTGGTGAATGTGATAGTGGCATAAAGAGGAACTGAACGATCATAACAAGAATAACTGAAAGAGTGGCAACACATCCGACCTTATAGCCAATGAGATTTATGTACAGTCGCCTTCAAAATACTCTCGACGAGCCTGGTAACACAACAGTACTCATTTAGACATTCAAATCGTGTTACAATGTTTCAGTCTTCTATCCCATGTTCTACGCATGACTATTAAATGAAAAGGTATGATAAACCAAAATATAATCCAAGGTACAGTATGAGAGTAATATATAATCATAGGTTTGCAAACGTGATCGCAACTACCTTGTTCTCCCTCCCGGCAACATCGAAGCAAGTTTTTTGTATCGTGTGTGTGTGTGTGTGTGTGGACGGGAATTATCACACACTAGAATACATCCATCATCTGTTGCTCCACTATATACCCTTACAATAGGTGTCATTATCTCATTCCAATATCTCAAAGCTGTCAGTGTACCTTCAGCAGTCACATGAAAGCCTATATGTCCACTCAAACATATTCCTGCCCACACCAGAACCAAGTCTATAGCGTAGTGGCCACTTTCAACAGTACTGACGTCTGTGTCCTCGTCTCACTGACACATCTACACCCTTACACGTCTATCAATAGTCAACACTGTAAATAAATTGACAATAAACTGACAATATTGATGTTCGTGAACTAAATTTATCTTTCGGTTGATTGGTAAGTCAAGAAATTTACGTCTTTTCTGGTTCTTTTATTTTTTTTTCTTATTTCACGTAGAGGTTGTAAGGTGTGTTGTGTTAAGAGTGTGTGAGGTGTGTTGTGTTAAGAGTGTGTAAGGTGTGTTGTGTTAGCTACAGTGTGGGAGGTGTTGCTTGTTGTTCATGACGTCTCCCCATAAATGAAAATGACAGTATTTTTTATGTTTATTTCATTATTTACTGTAAAATCGAAGAAAAATAATGTTAATGGAAGTGATAAATCATTAATTCTGACAGCAGGCTTCTGACGGATTACTTTACCTGAGGATGGGGATGGAGAGGAGGGAGTGTGTGGATGCTGGAATATAAACCTTTACCACAAGACTCCTTCACCTGTCTGATACCCGCTACTCATTATCGCCCACCTGTCATATGGTCCAGTCTAGTGCTACATTATCAGGTATCAGTCACTCTCTTACCCGGGACAGTTACTGGTCTCCGTAGTAGGAGTATCTTCTCACCTGTCAACCCGTCCAGCGTGACAGTGACCCGTATGAAAGTCGATGGCTCATGTTGGACCAGTCATTGATTTTCAGTATTTCTACATCAATCACTCATGACACCTCTCGGAGTGACACTTACGGGGAGGGCAGTTGCTGGATGATGGGAACTAGGAACAAGACCACATACACCGATGCTCACTCTCTCTAACTTACCCCATGTGATTAGTGATTAAAAAACATACATTATGATAACCGATTGTATAAATGTTCCAGATCATATCAATATAAAGATGACGATTAACACAAGATTAACATATATACTGTGTATATAAAATTAACAAAACGACTGTCAGCAGCACACGAACAAATATTATAGTGATATAAAATACATAAATACATACGCTGTACATCTAAACTCTACAGTAAACACCACACTAACATTAACACCACAAACGTATAACAATCGCATATTTACGCCCTGGTAAAACACACAACGTTCACTGTTTACAACTTTAAGCGTGAAATCGTTGTTGAAATTACAAATATTCATTAGAAATCCTTGTTTTATTTTGGGGGGCGAAATTTTTTGACAAACGTTTAACCATGAGTCAGGAAGAACAAAACTCATTAAAAAAAGACACGTAAAAATATATTTGTGTTGTATCTATTGAGTAAACTTGACTATTGAAACTATTCTCTTTACTTTTCTCTTATTCTCTATACACTTATTTATTATTTCTTCTGTGTTTTTATTCTCTTTTTTCGTCCCCAAATGAAAGTAGAAGTAGTTTGAGAATTATTGGTTAGAAAAGCTGATGAATAGATGCTGTTTATTTTGTCTTTACATTACAAGTGTACATAAACTCGTGTTGGTTTGGTCAGGTCAGGTCAGGTTAGGTTAGGTTAGGTTAGGTTAGGTTAGGATAGGATAGGTTATTAATGATAATATACTTTATAATAATTTAATTTAACTGTAGATAATTACGTTGAGCTGTTTGACGGTCTGGCCGATAATTCAACTTGACTTTTAATTGAATCAATCAGACTCTAATGCTTTATACATTTGGATATTTTCATGATGATGAAATGTGTTAAATTGTACCTTTGTGATTTGCACGCACGCACGGACGCACGCACGCACGGACGCACGGACAATGAAATAGAAATAAAACAAAACACCAAATAATAATCTCACGCCCTTCACTTAGTTATGATTAGCCTCTGTGTACAAACCCCGACTCTTCCCTACCCCTCCCCAAGTGCCCCTCGTCCCAAGGTCACACCCCCCCCCCCCGTTACTGTTGGTGGTAACAATGTGATGAGCAGTGTCAGCACCACAGGGGACGGCCAAGGTTGTGCAAACTGTAAACAAAAGTAAAAAAAAACAAAAAACAAGAATCGACAAAGGATATATAGGTAGTCTCTCAGCGCCAGTCAGAGATCGTCAGCGGGACAACTTACAGCTTTTATCTACTGAGCGAGGTAAGACAGGTGTGTATCAGGTGTATTTGGTAAGGTAAATGTGGAAGAGTGATAAGTCCTCGAAAATTAGTGAGGCTTGGCCAGGCAGGAGTCCATCATGGCCACCCAACAGTCCATCATGATCAGTCTACAGTTCATCATGGCCAAGCTACATTCTATCATGGCCAGTCAATAGTCCATCATGGCCAAGTAATAGTCCATCACGGCCTGTTGTTGTTGGTGCACATTATTTTTTTTTCGTTCTAAGATAAAACATTATAAAAATAAAGGCTGGTCAGTGTAGGTAGATCTGGTGACCGTCAACACCTGGTGACCTTCCCCATAACCTGACTGTGACGCTCCTTGATGTATAATGACTCCAACATTTATATTAACATCTGTATTACTCATTACCTCTGTGTGTGTGTGTGTGTGTGTGTGTGTTAGGTCAGAGGGTGATAATTGCCGGTTAGCGATCACTTCTATGTATTTATCTTAGAAACTTCTGACTGGCCATCAACAATCACTGAGAACTTTTTGCTCCAAACTCCTTCGCCTTTCTGTCCCGTCTCCTCTCTCCTTCCTCATGCCCGCAGTAGCCCTAAGTAGAGCTCTCTTAGCAACCCCGTACCTCTCTACTCCCCTTCACCTCCTCTACTGTACTTCACGCTTACCCTCACCTCACACAACACCCACTCCTCCTCCTCTTCTAGACGACCTCCCATTACCCTCTCCCACCTACGATAGGGTGTACAGTGTAGACTTGGGTCAGAGCTCAGGTGAGGGTCATTTCTTGGTCAATCTTTATCTGTTTTCTTCTAATCTATAAAAAGTCTAAGGTTAGATTAGGTAAGGTTAGGTTAGGTTAGATTGATTACGTTAAGGTAGGTTAGATTAGCTTAGGTTAGGTTTTTCCGTGACGCCAACAGTGATACATCACCTATGCTAAGTATCTACCAAGGGCAAAGGATAATACCAATACCTCCTCGTGTGTTGATATTGTAAACAAAACTTTATCAGTACCATGTGAGGGAAGACAGTACATGAGGGCTAAAGTAGATCTCATTGGCAATAGGAAGTTTACTATGGTTTAAAAGAGTTACCACATAGTTCATTTAACCACTTTTATTAGATCTCTTGACGTTGAGAGTGAGTGAGTGAGTGAGTGAGTGAGTTAGTGTGCGTGAGAGTGAGTGAGAGTGAGTGTGCGTGAGAGAGAGTGAGTGAGTGTGTGTGAGTGAGTGTGCGTGTGTAGGACATCTCTATTATTACTGATATGTATGTTTACACCAGCAGCAGCGGCCATCACTTCAGAAGAACCTACAGCAGCTACAGGATGTTGGTGTTCGCTGTCGTGTGTTTAGTGGTGGCAGGCAGCGATGTCACGGTGAGTCGGTCCTCTCATTCCTGAAGTCTTGACACATAACCCAAAAATCTTCCATACTTGTTTACTATCACCCACCCTCTCGCCGTTCACCCTTTTGCCGCCCACCCTCTCGGCACCCACCCTCTCACCACCCACCCTGTTACTACTATTGCCAGAAGTCATCCCTCATTATTAATACAATAAAATGGAGATTTTTTTGACTCATAGGAGAACTTTATGAAGATCCATAGAAAAGCTAAAAAAAAAAAAATCCAGATCTATCATTGCTTGGGGAAGAATTTGTGGGGTGAGATGGAGATGGCGTGAGACAGCCGACTATAGGGGGGATGATCAGAACGTAATGTCTGTGTTGAATTACAGTGAATTATGACCGAGGGTGTAGAGTAGGATGGGATTTTTTTCAGCTCCCGGTGGTTCAAAGTGGTAGAGGGAAGATAGTGCACATATTTATTATAATTAGGAGCTGGTAATAAAGGCTCATGTTTCTTGTATTGAGTTCAAGGAATGTATACACATATGATGTAATCTTTGAGTGGACCCAGCGTTAACATTTTGTCCTAAGGATCACCAAGTCGATACCAAGACACTCCCAATCCACCCAGGTAAGTGTGAGTGACTAACTTCACCAGGTTGAGAAGTGGAGGCAGTCGAGCACGGTGTCAGTCCGTATAGTAAATGGTATATTTTGTCCTCACTGTGCTTATGGGATGTAATTTCCAGTTTATTTCATCGTTAAAAAAAAAAATTACGAAAAGGGTGTAAATATTGGTGTAAATACGAGAATTATGTAATCTTTTTATTAGAAATGTCACAACACACACACACACACACACACTACTACTACAGTATATATTATGGTAGATTATTCGTGTTCATATTCAGATGAACTGATTTTGGTGACCTTCTAATCACACAACATATGTAGATTAAACTCCAAACTGTGACAGGTAGTTAGTGTAGTGAGGCTCTGTACTGTATATTGCCTGGAGATATTTAAGTGGCCAGACCTCACGGACCCTCAAATTATGTGATAAAATTAGGTGGTATTAGAATCTTTACCTAATAAACAATAAATAGCTTTATGTATTAACAGTTCAGATGTTATTAGTATTGTTATGAACAAAAAAAAAAATGTCTCACTTCATATTTTTCCCATTTTCTCTGTTATAATTTTCGTGTCAATGAAAAAATAATAATTCCTTGTCATTATTAGTGTGTATAATTTTAATAGAAACAGTGCAACACTATTGTAATTATTTTTAAATTAATAATTTGCCGAACAACGCAATATACGATTTTCAAGTTACATCAGTTTTATTAGAGATATTAACCGCTTCATTACGGAGATGTGACTTTCGATATCACATTTGGCTAATGACACGATTTTATTCAGCAGAGAGAGAGAGAGAGAGAGAGAGAGAGAGAGAGAGAGAAACAGCCTCGTACACAAATAATTAATAATGGATTATATTGACCAATACACTTTGCAAGCATATGTTAAGACTTTAGCATCATTCATACACTGACCGAATGTTATGTGAAAGTTGAATTTATTCTTGAATTGATTAGAGTCTCCGGGGCATAAGACATTAGCTTTAATATAAATACAAATAACCTATGTTTTTATAATATCTAACAATGACATTTTTTCGTTCCTTACAGATGTCTAGAACTATTCACTCAAGAGCCGCGTCCCCCTTTATACCACCTATTGATATATCAGGCCTTGGATTACCACCTATCAATATATCAGGCCTTGGAATACCACCTGTCGATGTATCAGGCCTTGGATTACCATTTATCAATGTATCAGGTCTTGGATTACCACCTGTCAATATAACAGGCCTACGATTAAAACCTATCGATGTATCTGGCCTTGGATTACCACCTGTCAATGTATCAGGTCTTGGATTATCACCTATCAGTGTATTAGGCCTTGGGTTACGGTCCGTCAATATATCACACTTACGATTACCACCTGTCAATATATCAGGCCTTGGATTACGACCTGTCAGTGTAAAAGACCTTGGATTACCACCTGTCAATGTATTTGGCCTTGGATTACCACCTGTCAATATATCAGGCCTTGGATTACCACCTATCAATGTATCAAGCCTTGGATTACCACCTGTCGACGTATCAGGCCTTGGATTACCATCTATTAATGTATCAGGCCTTGGATTACCACCTGTCACTGTATTAGGCCTTGGATTACCAGCTATCAGTGTATTGGGCCTTGGATTACCACCTGTCGATGTATCAGGCCTTAGATTACCATCTATCGATGTAGCCGGCCTTGGATTACCAGCTATCAATGTATCAAACCTTGGATTACCATCTATCGATGTAGCAGGCCTTGGATTACCAGCTATCAATGTATCAGGCCTTGGATTACCACCTGTCGATGTAGCAGGCCTTGGATTACCATCTATCGATCTATCACGCCTTGGATTGCCTCCTGTCAATGTTTCTATGTTTGTATTATAATTATTACGAGCATGATGCCATTAATGTTCAATGATTCAAAAACATTGAACTGTCCTGCTCCAATCTCCGAAACATCAAGTTCTGAAACAAATTCCACTCAAATTATAAATCTGACAACGTCCACTTATGAAGCCACCTTAGAAACCCTAGCTAATAGGTCCTCCGATATCCCGATAATGAATATTTCTTAATCGGATTTTACCAGAAGCCTATTTCTTTAAGACCTGGCAATAATCATGAGAGATTTATCAAATTGACTACGTCTAGCAATGATTCCTTAGACTTTACGATACTCAATACTGATTCAACAGACGCCGATGAAACGCATGTAAATTCAAGAGACTCAAAATAGTATGTTGTAAATTAACTAACATTAAGTTAATGCTGTACACACTCTTATCCACGAGTGTTTTTGTTCAAGAAGATTAGGAACTTTCGAAAGATAACACTGTATTTCTTGTCAGGAGTGAATGATGTTAATTTGTAAAGTCAGCTGTTAAAAGTCATAAAAGTATCATATCTATTCACCTGACCAATGAAAATTTTTTAATAGGGTATAACATTATTTATAGAGGTATTATCTATTCAAAGTGTATGTATGTGGAAATGACATGTATAAATGCCTTGATGTTATATTATTTAGTGGTGCACCATTATCTGTATTTTAAAATAATGAGAGGAAACTGAAAACGATAAATTATTGTTTAAAGAGAGAAAAGTTGCTTCAGCATTCTATTGACTGCAATATTTGTGATCAATAGTGATGTTAATAATATCGTGTATGATTAATAAACAAAAGAAACAACAGCAATAATAATATGGCAGATTATCTTTACACATTCCTATATTAAACAGATAATTTTGTAATATACCGTCACTCTACATGACCATATGAAGATTACAACTCCTCCTTATTTCACCCTAAGGATAACCTAACGTAACCACAGGATTACGCTGCTGTCCGTAGATGACAAGATTGTCGCCAGAGTTCTCCTAAACAGACTTCCTGAGGCGGAAGACTTCCTCCCAGAATATCAATGTGGCACCACTGACATGATATTTGTTGCCCGCCAGATACAGGAAAAGTGCAGAGAACAGCGTCGTGACTTGTACTTCCACAGCCCTGTGCAGCAAGTTGTGAGAGGACTTTTGCTGGCAACTGTACATGGCCTTCATCGACCATACCAAGGCCTTCAACTCGGTCAACAGGAAAGCCCTTTGGCGGACCCTCAGCCGCTTTGGCTGCCGATCAAAATTCATCGCCATTGTGAGGCGATGGCATGAACGACTGTGTCCTGCACAATGGCATCCAGTCTGAGTTCTCCCCCATCTAAACGGGGGTAAAACAAGGATGTGTACTGGCACCAACTCTCTTTTCCTTACTCGTGCCAATGTCAATTTAGCCGGTGGGGTGGACTTTTCAACATAAGACGACACCAGGCAGGAACAAAGGTGTCGGCCGCTTCCATTACTGAACTTCAGTAAGCAGACGACGTCGCTCTTGTCGTTCAAGCAGAACACGACCTGCAAAAGATTCTGAACACCTACGCAAATGCGTATGCACATTTCGGCCTTCAGGTGATTGTACGTAAGACTAAGATTCTCTTTCAGCCAGCACCTGTTCCAACCACACCTCCACTATCCGTCCAGCTTAACGGTACTACCCTCACTAATGTTACCCAATTTCAATATCTCTACTCCCACCTGTCCACCACCGCGGGCATCGACGAAGAGATTCAACATCGGATCAGATGTGCATCTAAAACCTTAGTTAGACTCCGTACCTGTATCTTCAGCTGTAGGGAGCTGAAATTATCTATAAAGTTGCACGTATATCGAGCAGACATCCTCCCCACCCTGCTATATGGCAGCGAGACATGGGACACATACAGGTGGCACCTCAGACCACATGAAAATTTTCACCAATGTAGTTTAAATTCCATCCTCCGAATTCGCTGGGAAGACAAGCGAACAAATGCCAGTTTTCTCACTGACACCAACTGTAGGAGCATCGAGGTTACCATTATCCATGAAAAACTACGTTGGACTGTCCATGGTACCTGCATGGACGACAGTAAACTGCCAAAACAGTTACTTTAAAGTCACCCAACGAATAGTAAACCTGAAAAAGTGCCAAATCAACCCCCTCACCTGGGAGACGATACCTCGACACCGTAGTGCTTGGAGGAGCACCACACGAGAAGGTGTCATTAGGTTTGAGTTAGCCCGACTGCATACCAAGGTAGACAAGCGCCAGATAACGCTGCCGCCGCCCCTCCCGCACTGGATGTAGCCTTCCACACGTGCAACGTCTGTGGACGGCTCTGTCGGTCCCGAATCATCCTCTTGAGTCACCTGACAGCTCACCAACGAAGGTGACATACTTAATAACTCATATCATTGTATCATAGATGGATGATCATCTTACTCGATTCCTCGATTCCGAGTGAAAGTAAAGAAAGGCAAAGCATGGCAAAGCAAAGCAGCAGCAGCAGTAGTAGGTGTGTGTGTGTGTGTGTAAGAATCAGATCTAGATGAGGTAAGCAATTACATTGAACTTTATATGTTATGTTCTCCGGTCGTACAGAATGAATGTCTACACACGACAGTATTTTATGCCGCAGCGGAACCATAAAACGAGCCTCGGTTTTTACCGAGTCTAGCCCGAAAATTATTAACCAGTAACATAAAGTAAACAGATCCCTGAGGCCGACGGAACACCTCAATCATACCTGACGGCGAACTGAGAAAACGTGTTGCTGGTCACAACTAAACTACAATATAAAACTAAGATTTATACAGTGTTTACATCAATGCTAACCATAATAAACAAACAGTTTGTTCTCAGTAACAAGTAAATATCTAACATGAGGTCTCTCTCGTCTTACAAGATGAAATTAATGTTGCAATGAAATTAATAATTGACAGGTGATTCTTCCTTAAATCTTACTGGTTGACATAACATGAAAGAGTCTACGGGAGTCACTTACAGCACAGGAGACCAGAGGTGTGTGTGTGTGTGGCGACCTGTGGTTTAATGGTCAGCATGCTCGCGACGCAAGCTAGTGGACCCGAGTTCGATTACCAGGCAGGGTGAAACTATGGGCAAAACCCACCTTAAGTTACCTAGCGAACGATTGAAATTTATAAGCTGTAGATAATTAGTATCTATTGCTATATATATTGTTCTTGTTCTTATAGTTATAAAGATTACATATAATGTATAATAAATGTTGAAAAATGTGTGAGAATTATGAAGAGGTGAATGGTAGGAGGCATCGCTGAAAGGCCTCCACTACACAGGTGATCCCTTGCGTGGAAGAGAGGAGATGCGTGTGTGCCTTGGGGTAGTCGTGGCCGAGCCCTGGAGATGACACCGTGTAGTGGGGTTACGAAGACATTTACATAAACTATATGGGTAAATATCTTCCTCACAAGTAAGTGAATTCCAGACGAGTTCAACAAGGGGTCGATTGGTTAGAAACAAAGTAAAGTGCTTATGAGGTTTACTACTACAGGACCACTGACCAGTAGCTGTTGGAGTGTATCATGCTTGGGTGCTGAGACAAAGAATCATCACAACAGCAACTGAGAAATAAACATTTACTGGTGGACGCTTGTAAGTGGTGTTTACTAATGCAAATGTTTTATTGGAAGTGTTCTGAGCGTTTATATAGGACACTGTACACGCTTGAGAACTTTGTACCCCAGAGTTGAGCTTATGGATAATTGCCATGTCATTAAGGCGTATGACAGAGTAATTTCTATACATTAATGTCTTAAACTTTAATAATTCAAGTCTTCTAATTAAGTGAAAAGAATTACTTCAAGTTGTTTCATGTCTTTAGTGAGGAAGAAACTAGTCATGTACGAGATGATTGGTGGTTCTGATACTGAAGTGATTCCTAAAAAATATTAGTTTGTATTTTTATAATCTAACAATTTATTATTCAATAGAATTAATTATTTATTGTTAATTTTTCTTTCAGTAAGAATTATGTTAATTAAATGTTATTATGCCAATGTTTTAATTTTCTTATTATTATTTTATTGTGTATTTCCTATGAATATGACGGACATTAAATAACTTACTTTGTGAATTTCATTACTGTGAGAACTTAACCACGCTACAGTTGGTTAAAGTGATGCAACTGTTAATATATCCAGTTTGAATAATCTAAAAGACAGACGAAAGAAACTAATCAAAAATACATTTTGCACACCTGAGGACAGCCGAGACCAGAGAAGGTGAGCGAACAGTGTAGCCCCTCCTCCAGACAAGGCAGCCTCTTCTCTTATTTGCATCAGTGATAATGTAGCTACGTCAGCCTCAGGAGGAGAGCCGGGGGTTGTTGTCCCTGGGTGGCGGTCCACCACCTCGTCACGGCAGATTGAATGAGGCGACGCTAAGCAAGTCCTCAAGTCTGGTGAAGGGAGTGTTGCCTTTTTTCAGGAAAAATAAGTTTTTCTTTTCAGTATTTCACAACTTTTGAGTATTTAACCAATTCGTCCAAATTTTGGGTTTTATCGCTATAACTTAATAAAAATTTATTTGTACATGAAAAAATAAGCCGTTATTATCTAAAATAGGTCCGGTAAGGTTAGGGTTTGCATGAAGCTGTTGATTATTAGGAGTTTTGATGATCAACATGAACGTTGATGGCAAGTCAGAAATTTCCCGCAAAACAGAAATACATAGAAGTTATCGCTAATAGGCAATTATCTCTATTAGGCGTGTATGTATGTATGTATGTATATATATATATATATATATATATATATATATATATATATATATATATATATATATATATATATATATATATATATATCCGTCTTTCTTCTATTCTTTCTCTTTATGAAGAGAATTGGCCAGAATATAACCTTCCGATTTCTCGACCGTGTCTAATCGACATCAACAATTTGGGCCGGTCTGTTGCACACTAGCTGTCAGGTCCAGCTAGGCACCACCCGTTCTCTCCACTCTATTAGCTCCACTG